TTTTCTTTTTTAATTGTGATTTAGGTGAAAATTTACAGAGCAAATTCACTTTCCATACAGCAGCTCACATACACTTTGTCTCATGACATTGACTACAATTTCCCACAATGCAACAGCTCCCCTCCCACTTCCTCCCCATAGTTACCTCTTTCCTGGGTCCTTCCCTCCCATACACTCCTGCCCCCTGAGCTGTCCCTCTGTGCATACACAGCTCTTCTATTCTCCCATGATTGATCTCTCCAAGGAGTGTATCTACCTAATATAAATGTTCACCTCATATGTCTGTCTTTTGTTTGGCTGGAAGCCACAGGAGTGGGTTCAATTCCAGACCTGTAGGGTAGCTAGGGATCATAGTCTCAGTGGTTCCATCAGGCTCTATCAGACTGGCACACCTGGTGCTTTTTTTTTTTTTTTTTCCCTAATTATTTTGAGTTTTGTTCCACATTGTTTTCCCACTCTATCCAGGATCTCCTACATAGATTTCCTTCCAAGTGGTTGAAAGTGGTAGCCAGGCACCATCTAGTTCTTCTAGTCTCATAGTCATATAGACTGAGGATCACATGGTGCACCAGTTCCTTGGACTAATTGTTCCCATGTGTCTTTGGTTTTCTTCATTCTTCTTTGCTCTGGATGAGGAGAGACCCATAATTGCATCTAGATGGCTGCTCGCAAGCTTTTAAGATCCAGTTGCTACTCGCCAAAGTAGGATGTGGAACAATGTTTTTGTGTAGTATGTTATGCCAATTGAGCTTGATGTCCCCTGTGACTATGGGCCTGAGACCACAGGTTCTACTACCCTCTCCCTCTGGGTAGCTGGCTGTGGCCAAGAAGTGACTATACCTTGTCCCTTGGCAGCTCTACTATATACCTGGGAATTCTTACAGTACATACCAATATACTTGTAGAAACATTGTCTGCCAACCCTATACATGGTCTTGGGCACACTCTCCCCTGCATAGACACTGAATAGCATGAACATTTTCTTATGCGTTATGTCATTGTAACCTTATAGCAATCATTTGAGGTAGCAGTTATTATTTCCCATTTAGTGGATTAACTTGAAGTTTACTGAAATCAAATGAAAATCAGGAAAGTCACATGTTTGCAATTAAAAGAGTGGTACTAAAATCTAGAAGTTTTAACGTAATGTCCAATGCTTTTGAGGAGAAAGAAGAAAAACAAACAAACATGTTTTAAGATGTTAGTACCCAGTCAGTTATTTCTTACCATGGTTTACTAAATGCTCTTGTGTGCAAGTCACAGTGGAGGGTCAGGCATGGCCTGACTTTTTGCTAGTAAAATTCAGAGGTTTAAAGATATATAGAGGAGGCAAAACATCTCAGCTGCAGTCAGAAAATATAAACTCTAAATATACAGGAAAGAGTACAAGAGAGTTTATTAATTTATAAATTCAATAATTATAAATCTCAATATTTTGGCACAATATTCATATAATTGCCATCTTCAAAAAACTTTTCTTTCCTTCAACGGTTTAAACTGACTTTAATGTTATATAAAATGTTGTTTTAAAGGTCAACAAGTAAGTTCCATATTACTAACATTAAAAAAAAAAAAAAAATGGGAGCTCTGGTGGTGTAGTGCCTAAGGCATTTGACTACTAACCAGAAGGCTGGAGATTCAAACCTACCAGCCAGTCCTTGGAAAGAAGAGTGGGAAATCTACTTCTATAGAGATACCACCTCGGAAACCAAAGGAGAGGTAGCTATGAGTCGAATCGACTCAATGGCAGTGAGTTTGTTCTTTTTGAATATAAAAAATGAACTTGGACAAGGAATAAATAGGAAAAAATATGAGTAAGGATGTATACATATTTACTTGAACTTGATGAGCCCCTTTGAAAGTTTGGCATGATGTGATAAGTAGGTTAAGTATGGAAAGGCAAAAATGTGTGCTTAGCCTGATATTTTATCATAATAAACATTATATATTAATTTACTATATTTTAATGCTCAATTCAGTAGTCTCCCTATAACATAAATGCTACCAGAATCTTCCTTTCAAAAAATTGGAGATGCTAGGAATTACCATGGTGTTTTCCCCTAAAAAGGTAGAGGTAAAAAAAAAAAAAAAAAAACTATTCAATACAAAAAGTTGACTCAATATGGAAACCTTTTAATTCTACTACAGTGAAACACTTATGATTACTCTGAATTGCTTATCTATCACTTGTCAAGGTTTGGATGTATCACATTACCCATACAGCATTCTCACATTGCAAAAAGAAGTTATACTTTGCAGAAGTGGGGTCAAGGCCTTTCCCACACCAAGATTGTGAAAGACTATGTGGTGATTAAAGCATTCAACTGCTAACCAAAAGGTTGGTGGTTTGAATCCACCAGCCCCTCTGGGTGATAAAGATTTACAGCCTTGGAAACCCAGTGGGGCATTTCTACACTGTCATAAAGGGTCACTATGAGTTTGACTCGATGGTAGTTTTATATATATATGGATCTGTAGTAATTTAAAATGTGTCTTTTTCCTTTCAAAAGGCAGTGAAAGTTAAATCGTAATAGTAAAAAATAGGAGATAGCACAATAAAATCAGTAATATTCATGGCTTTTTAAATCTGGTTCAAAGTCTTACTTTGAAGTACAATTTCTGTTTGAGCCTCAGTTTCCTCACTTGGACGATGAGGATAATAACATTCATCTTGCAGAATTATTGTTAGACTGGGAGATACCCCATTAGAAAGGCATATATTACATTACAACTCAGCCCCTAAGAAAAACAATCTATACTAACCAAAAGTTGTGAGTAGGGGATGGGGCAGGGGGTAATAGTGGTGATAGTGGGTATTTATTCTTCTTTATTCCAATATATTTATTCTTCTTTATTTCACTTCTTTATTCCAATGGACTGTTCACAAGACTTTATTTCAACTACTATTTTTACAACACCATCTTTTAATTTGGAGATTCTGGAAAGATCTGAAGGAGTACTGGTAGTGTAATTGTTAAGATCTTGGTCCCTGGTTTGTACCTATCAGTCGCTCTGCAGGAGAGAAGACCTGGCTGGCCACCTGTTCCCATAAAGATTGTAGCCTAGGAAACCCTGAGGGACAGTTATACTCTGTCCTATAGGGTCCTTATGTGTCAGAATCCACTGAACAGCAGACAACAACAACAAAAGGATACAAGATAAAATGCTTGCCCTCACCAAACTCCATCAAATTTGAACATGGAATTTCTTTGAAACCATCGTCCAAGTAGGTAAAGAGCAAAAAAACAATTCTGTCAAGGGCTAGAGAGGTAGATAAGTTTACCCTCTCACTTCCTTCACAATGTGCAGTATCTTCAAGCTTCCATAAGGTACAAAACAAACAAAAACCAGTGTGTGTTAGAGTAGAATTGTGTTCCATAGGGTTTTCAACAGCAGATTTTTAAGAAGTTGTCAGGCCTTTCTTCTGAGGAGACTCAGGGTGAGTTCAATCTGCAACCTTTCAGTTGTTAGCAAGTGTAACCCTTTGTGCCACCCAAACACTCCTTCATAAGCTTACCAAGGTTTGAAATGGATCTGAGAAACCATTAACACCAGTTGTTTAGCTTTTTGATTAAACACACACATTTTTTTTTTTTTTTTTAATGCTGACTCCAAAGAAAGCAAAGTATAAGGAGATTTAAGATTTAATTACGGATACAGCATCTTATTCTTAATAATCAGTAAGTCTGGCTGTTTTAAGACTAGGCTTGGAAGGCAAAGCAGATGTAAAAACTCTTGAGGAATAAAACCTCCTCCTCAGGTCCTAACAGAATGGAAAAAAATGCTCGGCGGTCGGACCAAGTACACCTAATGAAGAGAATCAAACCACAGACAGAGCATTTTAACGAGGGCCCTGGAATCCCTTTCCCCAAGATTCGGTGGGGTGAGGCCGCTGGAAGCCTCGTTCCCCGCGAACACTGAGGAGTGGGAAGCAGCGGTTCGGGGAGGCTGCCGGCCGCGGTAATGCACTCAGGCTGATTTGCATTGTTACATCCTGATGTGAAAGAAGCGTGCAAAATCACAAGAAAACCCAAGTCCTAGAGGCTGTCATCTGGGGCTTGGTTGCTAGACATCCTATGCTTTCAGGTCCCAGGGGTGGGACAAAAGGTTCCCAAGGTGGGGAGTTATTGAACTTTTAGAATGAGGTAATAGAGCGAGTCGGGGGGCGGGGTGAGGCGGCGGCTGCAGGATGGGAGCAGGGGGAAGGGCGGAGGTGGTTCCCGATAGTGTTGTCAGGATCCAGCCCCACGCTGGGCAAGCTAGAGGCTGGAGGCGTTGAGACAGCGCTCACTTCTCCAGTTGCTAGTTGGTTCTCTTTCAAGTAAAAAACGCGAGAGGAAAGGTGTCGCCTGTCGGGGAAAGGTCGATCCGCAGCTGGGGCCTCCAGCCATCCTGGTTGCGTGGGGAGGGGACAGCAGGAGATGCGGGCAGCTGTACTCCAGTCTTTGGCCCGGCGGTGACGGCGGCTCCTCACTGCACCAACCTGCGGGCCGAGCTGGCTGGGCGCGTGGCGGCCCCTCCCACGCCGCACCCAACCCCCACGGCCGCCTCTCTGCGCTCTGCCCTGGTCTGTCGGCCCCAGGTCCCAGTAGGTGCTGCAAAGACCGGTGTGTGGAGCGCCTCTTCGGGTGCTCAGCCAGTGGTGGACTGCAGCCCGAAGGGGACGTCGCGGCCACCGCTTCCCGCACCCGGCACTTCAGCTTTCCCGGAGCCAGCACACCCCTCCCTCCTACTCTCCTCTCGTCCGGCCGCCCGCACCGGGCACCCCCTCCCCCGCCGCTGGCCCCGCGCCTTCTCCCTGCGCGCCGGGCGCCTCCTCTTGCTCTGCTCTGGGCCCCTAACCGGCTTCTCCGTTCCGCGCTCCTCGCGCCCCCTCGCTCTTTTCTCTAGCTCTTTCTCTCGTTCTTTCTCGCCCTCTCTCTTTCTCGCGCGCGCGCGCCTCCCTGCCCCGCTCCCATCCCGAGTCCGCTGCGCGCCGGCCGCCGCCTTGTCATGTCAGCATGGAGATCCGGCAACACGAGTGGCTCTCGGCCTCCCCCCACGAGGGCTTCGAGCAGATGAGGCTCAAAAGCCGCCCCAAGGAGCCCTCGCCCAGCCTGACCCGAGTGGGCGCGAACTTCTACAGCAGCGTCAAGCAGCAGGACTACAGCGCCAGCGTCTGGCTCCGGAGGAAAGATAAGCTCGAACACGTAAGGACAGCTTGCTCTCTGCGGCCCCGACCCGGCACCCACTGCACGCCCCCTCCCTCCGCGAGGGCAGGGAGCCGGGCAGGTGCCAGCACCTCTGTGCCCCTTGTTGAGGGAGGGCGTCCGCGTTCTCGGTCCTGATCTAGGGGCTTTTCCTTCTTCTGCACGTTGTGGCCCTAAAATACTAGGCTGCGGGAAGGGGATGAGAGGTTCCCTAACCGGCACAGCTGGGAGACCCCTCCACAACCCGACCGCCCATTGTGGGGTTTCTGTGCACTGTGTTCCTGAGGTGCCAGTGCGGGCTGTGCAGAGTGTAACTGCCATAAGCACCGGTAGTGGGTTTTTGAGATGTGCTTGCCAGTCTGTTCTGGGCGATTTTACTCCGTCCAGAAACTAACAAATACAGGAATCTGAGATTTAGTCTGGGCCCACGCACAAGTCCTTAAAGAGTTTTCTGCGGAGTGTCCGCTGGGCTGAGCAGTTGGCTATTCTCTCTACTTGAGCAACTAGGGAGGGATTTGCGCGTTGCAAGGAGAAAGGCGACCAAAAGAGCAGATCGTACTGCTCCCCAGAGACCAACCACTCTAGAGGGTGGGAACAGGCGAGCAGAGACCTCCACTTGCTGAAGGAGTGCGCTTCACACGTTGCGTTATTGGCTAGCCATTCTGGACAGAAGAAATCCCTGAAAAAGAAAACGTTTAGTGGAACCACAGTTTTAAATTTTACCCATCAACATCTCCTTAACCTACTCTTAAAATGAAATTAGGAGAATTGTACTAAGAGTGTAACACAACTAAACTATTTTCCTAGTGAAGGAAAATATGTTGTTTCTTCTCACAGTAGTGCACAATCCAAATTGAATCTGTTGATGAAATGTGGAGATTTCCGGGTATTTGGCTCATGTCGCCAATTATGATAAAAAAGTAAGAACTAGAACTCCTGGAACTCATGCATGTATCTCCAACGCCTGCACAGACCTGTCTATGAGCTTGCAGCACCCACAGACTTCTCAAGAGGAGGAGCTCAATAGGGATATTTCTCTCTTATAACACTAAAGGAAGATGCTTGCCTTTTGCTGAGGCCCTGATTAAGTCCTGGGAAGCTGGCTTAAAAGCTGTGAGTTGTGTAACAGGCTCTTGAATCATTTGGACAGTTCCGATCCTTAAGACCATTAAAGTTACTGAAGGGAGATTTCTAGGGTGGCAAGATGTTTAAAGGGCAACAGTGCCCATTTAAAAATTCATGCTCCAGAATTAGTAAAAAAAAAAAATAATAAAAAAAATAATAAAAAAATTACAGAATTAGTAAAGAGACCTGTAATGTTATTAGTTTAAAGGGGTTGTTGTTGCTATGTGCTGTGGAGTCAGACCCGACTCATAGGGACCTCTCCTTGGGTTTCTGAGGCAGGCGGTATCACTAGGGAAGTAGATTGCCCAGCCCTCCTTCCCAGAAGTGGCAGGTGGGTTTGAACTGCCAGCCTTCTGGTTAGCAGTCAAGTACCTTAGGCACTATGCTACCAGAGTTTAAAGGGAATTATAGCATTTTTGTGTAACTTGGTTCTTGATGGTGTTAGCTGATTTTAGTACCACAGAGGGTGATAGTCTTAGTATGTTGTTGTTATGTGCTGTCCAGTCAAACCCAACTCATAGCGACCCCTCCTTGGGTTTCCGAGGC